ATGTATGTATGTATGTATTGATGTATGTATGTATGTTTGTATGTTGGTATGTTTGTATGTCATCATCATCACCATCCTAGTCGTCATTAAGATAATTGCCGAATCATCGTTTCCAGAAAGAATGGAGAAATGGAATCTTTTTTGTCCTTCAAAGTGAGGAATTGACAAAATAATTGGAATGCGTGTCATCATTATCAGCATCATCATCATCATCCTTGTCATCATCAACATCATTATCGTCATCATCATCATTATCATCATCATCATCTTCGTCATCGTCATCATTTTCTTCATCATCATCATTATCATCATCGTCGTCGTCGTCATCATCATCTTCGTCATCAGCAACCATTTCGTCACCGTCAGCATTGATCGCATCATCTTTTTTATCATCGTCATCATCAATTTATCATCACCTATTTATAAAATTATTCTCCATCGCTAATATTTTAACTATTTTGGTTATTATTATTATTGCGATGAATAATTTCTCAAACAATGGTTCTTGATTTACAATTTTCATTAACATGGCAAATATAAACCGACACATGCATAAAATTCTTTCAAAATGTTATTAATATGAAATACATACATACACGCACACACACATACATACACACACAGACAAATTCAATCAAACTCACACACATATACACACATGCAAACTCACTCACACACACACATACATTCCTACGTGAATACAGGTACACGTTTTGAAAAGTAAAAATTAATGACCAGGTTTCAACCCAAGTAAATTCAGTGTTAGAAGATTCCAATTGTAAAGGTTTTCCTTGGTCTTAAAATTGTGTTTTGTATTTTGTATATCTTTGTATATATTTGTATGATATCGAGGTTTGCTAAAAGGCGTCATAGTATTTGATAAACTACAAATTTATGAACGGTTTTTTAAAATTATTATATTTTTCTGAAAAAAAAATTTGTTCATTAGTATATTTCAGATCTAAGTTATTTATAAATTTTATTTATTTATCATTTTTAAAATTTGCTTGTTTATTACTTTTCAAATATTATTTCTACCCTTATTTTATTCCCCCGTAATGGCTTCCGACTAAGTGCTAATAGATACATCCGTTGTGATGCAAAGTATTCCATAGGTACCCCAGTTCCCGTGACAGATTGTATTGTACATCGTGGTTTTTGTTTTGTATTGTTTTATTTTATTGTATGTATATCGGGTTGTATTGTATTGTATAGCTGTGTTTTGTGTAGGTTTGTACAAAGCTGAAACGTTTTTTTCATTTAAGGCCTAAATATATCTGTAAATTCTGTAGTATGTATGTATGTATGTATGTATGTATGTATGTATGTATGTATGTATGTACGTACGTACGTATGCATGTATGTATGTATGTATGTATGTATGTATGTATGTATGTATGTATGTATGTATGTATGTATGTATGTATGTATGTATGTATGTATGTATGTATGTATGTATGTATGTATGTATGTATGTATGTATGTATGTATGTATGTATGTATGTATGTACGTATGCATGTATGCATGTATGTTAAAACCAAAACATGATGAGTGACACTGAACCGTCAAACATCAAGTAACAAATGGATTAACACTTTGATTTGTCGTTAATTGCACATGTCGGCATTCAGTTGGATATTTTCAAGCACACAGACACGCAGGAACCGCTGCAACAAGCACGAAATGTGGTTAGTTGCGAAAAACAGTTCCCTGCTGTCGCCTGATCTTACGCCGATCATTTTACATATTGCCTTAAGAAATTTAAGGGTGTTGGGGTCCATCGGGCCGAGAACCTCGATACATATTGGCAAGAATACCATCGAGTCTCTTCTCAAGGCGTTGAAGGCATTTTTAAAGTCCAGTTTCAGAGACCCCCATTGATCGGGGAGGTCGGTGACCAATCTTCGAACTGCATGAACAGCGGCCTCAGCGCCACCCTTAATCCCGACACCCAACTGAGTCGGGTAGAATTTGGTCTTGAGTTCGACCACGACCAGGGCCAGATTGCCCTGGTTGACCCGGCGACCCCCTCTGAAAATCTTCTGTAAGACGTATGGGCAAAACATTGGAGTCTAGCCCAGTGAGCCGGGTCACCAGGGTCATTACAAACAGCCGTCAGCAAGGCGTTCAGATCATGTGCGAACTTCTCCCTGCATGGCTTAGGGATATGGTTGTACACGTATGGTCGTCAGCTTGTCAAAAACACCAGAGTAATCCAGGTCGAGAGGATCGCTGGAGACCGATACGGCCGTCGACCATGGGGACAACCTAGGCTTGGGGTCGGGTGCGGCACCGAGAGGCGAATCAGCCCTCGCGTCCGATGGATCAACTTTTTTCCTGTCCTTTCACTTTACCTCCGTGCCAACATAACTTCCCGTCTGGAGTGCTTCTGTAGTGGTTAAAGCAGACGGGGCACTGTTGTAACGTTGGAGCCAAATGTGATTAAAAACAACCAAGAAACGAAAGAAAGGAAACAAACCAAGTGGGGTGGATTGATGAATGAATGGATGAACAAGCGAATGACCACATGAACGGGCGAGCGAACAAACGAATGAATGAGTGAATGAATGAAAGAATGAATGAGTTAATTACTGAACGGGCGAGTGAAGGAAAAAAAAAGAATGAATGAATGAATAAACAAATGAACGAATGGATGAATGAACGAATAAATGAATGAGTGACGGAATGAATGAACGAGCGAACGGATGAATGACTGAATTATCTTTAAATATTTAACCAGTGGAAAATATATATAACTTTTTCAACTTTTTTTTATATTTTTTTTTTCTTTCTTTTTTTTCTTTTGATGAATGAATGAGTGAGTGAACAAATGAGTGAATGAGTGAATACAAAAACCTAGGTAACAGTGTGGGAGGAGACAACTATTGGAACAAACTTTGGCCCAATCTCTCACCTTACAGTTTATTTTTTTACACAGATTTTAAAATTTGTTTAGGAAATTTCTTTTTTATAAAAAAATTTTAATTTTAATTTTAAATGTATGTATGTATGTATGTATGTATGTATATATGTATGTATGTATGTATGTATGTATGTATGTATGTATATATGTATGTATGTATGTATATATGTATGTATGAATGTTTGTATGTAGGTACGTATGTTTGTATGCATGCAAATTTATCTTTTCTTTTCTACTGTTGAAGTTGAAAAAAAATTTTAAACAGTTAAAAAATTAATGCGTACGTGGAAAGAATAAAAGCCGGCTAAGTGTATTTTCATATATACAAACTATACGGAAAAGAATACAAAACTACACAAAAAAATAAAGTAAAATATGAAAAACTTCTAAACAAACTTGCAGAACATACAAACGCTTACCACAGATATGCCAAACTGAAAAAATAATTACAATACACGAAAAAAATTAAATAGAAACTTTCAAAAAATGTATTAAAAACCTACGAAAATAATACAAACAAAAGCGAAAAAAATGAATAACCATGAATGAAAGTAATAAATATGGTAAAATTAACTTCAAAATATTTTCGTTTTTTTCGCTTTGTAAATAATACTATTTTATTTTGCTAAATATATTTTGATTTTTAGTTTTCTTATTGTATAATAAACTATAACAATCAAATAATAATAAATAATAATTAAAAAAAACTTACTGCCATGTTTAAAATATAGCTTCTGCTTCTTGCTGGTTCAAATGGAAGGGTGAGGAAAAAAAATTTGAGTGAAAAATGACTTGGAAATATGTGAAACGAACATATTCAGTGGATTGTGTGTGTGTGTTTGTTTGTATGTGTGTTTGTATGTGTATGTATGTGTGTAGGTGTGTAGGTAGGGAAGGTAGGTAGGTGTAAATCAAATAGTAAGTAGAAACCAACCAAATAAAATTCTATGTCCCCATACCACTATATGAAGCGTGAACTTGACCTATCATACCTTGCATGGATGAACAATGAAATTCAGCCCTAACAACCAATAAAGAATGAGGGAAATTTTAATTTATGAAGCGCCCTATAAATATGCAAGTATACCAACCAGCCAACGAATCAACCGACCCATCAGTCAACTGACCAACCAATCAGAGCTACCCAGAAAATTAATTCCACGAGTACAAATTATTGTTTTCCTGTGATAAATATTCATGTTTAAACATTTCAAATCAACTCTGAGACTATAAAGAGTTTTCTCTCACTTTCTCTCTCTCTCTCTTTCTCTTGCTCTCTCATTTCCATTTATTCTCTCTTTCTCTTTCAACATTTTACTATTCATATACACATCAGTAACTAATGAGCTAGCGATATTAATCAACCAACCTTCGAGCCAACAACAACAAATTCATTTCAAAACTGGATACACAAAATAACGATAATAACAGATTAACAGAGAATTAAAAAACACCACACTGACAAACACCATCATCATCATCTTCTTTTTCATCACCGTCATTCTCACTAACAACAGCATTTATAAGTTCGTTTCAAAATAGGTTTGGCTTTTCTGTGTTGTAAAACAATTTGCCTCCATTTAGAAAAAAAAACATTAATATCTATAACACGTTCTTGGAAAATTTAACTGTCCGGGCTAGCAGAAAGTAATTTAGCGTGTGTAGAGCAGTAGTAAGAATTAATAGTAAGTAGCAGTAGGAAGTAAATGGAGATAGATAAGAGGAAGAAGAGAAAGATTCGGAAAAACAAAAAAAAAATGAAAAAATAACTTTACTCGAACATTTCTGTGCAGAGAAAGAAAATAAATCTTTTTGATTACAGTGGCACAGTGCATGGAACATTTCGGATGGTGATGATTATCCGCCCATGGACCGTCGACGACTTTGGAATAATTTCTATCCTCTCTCTCTCTCGCATTTCCACGCAACAAAAGCGCGCAAAGTTTACAGCGTCTGTCGCCAAATTATCTTTCCATTCTTTCGCTATTTATACCATGCACACTCATTCCAAATCCTAATTAATATTTAACGAGTTTGGTATTTTTGTGATAAAAGGAAAACAAAACAAACAGAAAAAAAATGCAATATACTATTTTTATTATTTAAACAAGCCAACAAAAAATTATTATCAACGCAAACGTAACGGTTGAAACTTGTCAGCGATGTCTTAAACCAAACTGTCTTCAATGCATAGTCAGTCACACACATTCCCACACAGCACACAAACACGCGCCCGCGTCAGTGCTATTTAAATCACAGAGGCGAAATTCTTGAATTCAGCTTCATAGTCAGATGCGAGATTTCATTGGGATTTGTAGAATCGGTAATTTTGTGAGGGCATTTAGCATTGGAGCACTGACTTGCATCGTGAGCCAGCAACGGGCAGATGAGTTTGTGCGGAGCATTTGTGCCGTCGCTTGGGTTCGATATCAACGTCTCGGTTCTCGTTAGAACGCTTTCGACCAGATCTATATTTGTTAGTACGATGTTTATCATTTTCAATCTATCCTCAACACTGACGCCATCAATTACCTCGCTGCCCACCGTGACGGAAGTTATGGGTGGTGCCTCTGATCTGCCATTATGAAGTTTGGATAATTCGGCCAGGCTGTCCACTCTTGAACGTGCGAGTTCAGTTTTGAGTGGGTTGATGAAGTTTGTTTCAATAGATGGCAAGATGTTTTTCAGGTTCAATGAGTTACCTCTTTCCGTCATTTGATGTTGCTTCAGGAGCAGGAATCGCAGAAAATTCAAGCACGACATAATTCGATCAGTTTCATCTAAAATGTTTATTTTATTCTGCTTCACTTTTTTGTCATCTTCGTCTGAAACTTTTTCATTTTTATTGCCCTGATGAAGCTGACTGGGATAAACGACGAAGATGACTTTCGCGAATCTATCAAGTACAGAGCCGGTAAAAACGTTATTTTCATTTTTCAAACTTTCATCAACTTGATTCTTGACAGCTGTGATGATGAAACCAAGCAGGCCTGCGTGTTCGGTGTTGTGAAGAATGAAATTCAACAGTTCAACTCTCCCCGCTGGTTGAATGCACCAAATCAAAGCATTCAAACAAGCCAAACATTTCTGACTAATTTCTTTCACATTCGAACTGGTTGAAACTTCAATCAACTTTTCAACAAAACTCTTCATACCAGCTTGATCAAGTGAGAATTCATTCATGCCTCCAGTTCCAATTCTTTTTAAGAAGTACATTACAAGATGGCAGCCCTTATCAGCTGGATGGCTGTTTGGCTTTCTGATGGCTAGGAGGTGTGTGATGAGTTGTAGGTGGGTTAGGAACAGGTAGGTAGGTGTGTAGTGCTGGGGAATTAAGTTACCGCAATACTGCTCGTTGAACATTGAGTAGGCCAATGTACCTAAACCAGTTTTCACATCCCATGTTATTTTTTCTGGCTTCTCAGATGAATCATCTGAATCTATGGATTTTACTATTTCTATCTTTTCATTAACTTTCCCTTCCATCATTTTTTCGCACTCTTCATCATTTTTAGACTTCCAGAGCAGAGTTTCAGAAATGAATTTGATTCCATCTCTCTGCAGTTGACTGAATAGTTCAAGGGATATCATTTCAGTAGTATCAGCCACAAAACTCCACTTCTTGTATGCAAAAGGCATTGCAAATAATTTCAAAAGTATTAAACTTAGTGATAACGAATCAGACTTCAGACTAAAAAAGTCCTCATTGTTTTTGATAGCATTTTCCATTCTCAAATGAATATCCTGTATGAAGTTTTTGAAATATGATAAAAATAGATAGATGTTATCTTCAAAAGCACTTTGAAACTGAATAGCATCTAATGATTCAATGCAGTCTGTACTGGAATCCGGCAGACATTGACATTGAATGTGGGCACACAACGTTTCGAAGGCCAACACAACAGATTGATGGCGCTTGTTCGCAATTAGGAGCAGGCAATCATTTATTGGTTCCATCAATGCCTGAAACTTCTCACATTTATTAAATGAATTTGCCTCTTCAAGTAGTGCTAGAAGTAATTCCTTGGGGCGGCAAATTGAAGGAAGAAGTTTTAAGAGTTGCTTCGTTTTTTGCAATTTTTCATCAGTGACTTTCATTTTTTTTCTACCTTCATCACTTTCCTCATTGTCATCGTAAAGCCGGCAGATAGATCGGATGTAATCGAAAGGGTTTTCTATGATGCTTTCAACAGGATAAGACAATTCTAAGTCTGCAAGTAAGTCTTCTAACGTTTTCGAGTCGTTCATGTTTTAATTTAAGTTAGAAAATTGAAAGAAGCAATCCGTGTATTCAGATTTTCATCATCAACGTATTTTACTTTTAAATTTTCCAAACATATGAGGTTTAAATGTTGAAAAGTAAACTCGATTAAATGTATTTTGCAATTGAACGTTTATAAAGTTTAATAAAAAACTTTTATTAATTTTATAGTTTTTAATAAATAATATAATTATTTTATACAAAAAATGTATTAAAAAAAGATTTTACAAACAAATGAAAAAATTTTCAAACAATCTACATCTAACTAATTTCGATAGTAAAGTAAATAAGACGGGGTCGACGTGGTTTTGCTTTTTTAATCATTCAAATTGACTTTTTCATGAGCAAATTTTCAAAATTTTAGTGCCAAAGCATTTAAAATATGGCGACAAATAACAGAAAGAAACCCTCGGAAAAATCGACAAACGATTGCTCCATAAAGTCAACACTAATCAAAGCCTTCAAGTCAAATTCGGACTGGCCAGACAAGGTTCACTTTTTGTATTTTACTCTGCATTACACCTAATTTCATTGTTTTTTCCTTTTACATATCGATGTTTAGTTTTAATTTTTTTAAATGTCAGGATGAATTTTTAGACGTAATATACTGGATACGACAAGTTGTCGGCCTACTGTTAGGAATTGTCTGGGGTATCTTTCCATTGAAAGGCTTCATAGGCATCATTTTGTTAGTTTTGTAGTGTCCTGTCATTAATTATAATAATTTTTAATAATATTTTGTGGTTTTAATGAATATTTTAAAACTATTGTAACACCGTTATCTATCCACTCCTCCCAGTCTCTCTCTATCTCTCTGTATAAAATTGTACATACATGCATTATTATATTATATCATAATATTATATGTTATTTGGTACCAATACTAGCAAGATAAAATACGACTAATAATACAAAAATACCCAATAGATTCCTCGCAGTGAACATAGCATTAATATACTTCTATGTGAACACGATACAAAAAGTGGACGAGGACGACTACGGAGGCACTTCAGAAATCATAAAAGAAGGACTTATGACATCTTTCGCTACCTTTGTTGTTAGTTAACTTGGGTGGATAAGTGGAAACTTTTTTTAATTTACTGGTTTCTAAAACAAAAAATGTTTGTTTATTGATCAATTGTGAAGTTGATTCTATACGAACCTCTGTTGCTTTTAATTTATATGTCGTAGGAGAAATGGTTTTTTAAAGACTTTCTTGTTTATTTGTTAATTGTAAAGTGTATTTCAAAAGGCTTGTTTGTTTTTGCTGTAAGAAAATTGGCTTTTAAAAGGCTATTTTTGTTCGTTAGAAAGTTGTAAAATAGATTTTTTTAGTAAACATCTGCCATAAGGTGTGTATGCTTAAATTTTAGAGGGTCTTGTGCTTTAGCTGTTGAGGGATGGATCTTAAGATATATTTTCTTTTTATCCATACAATAACATTCATTACTTTAACATTATTATTAATAATTAAGATCTCATAAAAGAAAATTTTTGAAATAAAACTTTTCCAATTTTCTAATTTCAGGTGACTTGGATCATAGTTTATTCAGCATTACACCAAGACTGATAATAGTTGTATTATCATCATCATCATTATTATTATTATTAGTATTATTATATAATCACTATTATTATTGTCATTGTTGTCAATGTGTATGTTTGCGTGTGCGTGCGTGTGTGTGTTGATGTTGTTAAAGTATCATCATTGAATGAACATCGTCGATGATTTCTTCACATTTAATATCGTTATTGTCGTCATTGTTACTGTTGTTGTTGTTGTTATACCAATCATCTATGTTACAATCACTGTATCTAATAGACTATCATTATTAATATCATCATTAACAATTATTTGTATGATTAATATTTTTCAATAATTATACACTGCAATAGCATTGTATTTATAATCTGTTATAATTTAAAAAAATGCAAAATGACAATATATATATATATATAATATAATATAATGTTGAGACCAACACCGACAAAAACAAGTAAGAATAGGGACTTTACGCTTAACAAACTTAATCACACAGACGAATTATACACTAAATGTTGTTGTTTATCAATTTCATGCATCAGTCGATTGATTGATTGATTGATGAGAAAATAATAGTTACAATAACAATAATTATGAAAAACAAGCCAATCTTAAATTGTGTTTGTGTGTGTGTGTGTGCGCGCGCGTGCGTATATATTTACATATAAATGCAAAGCAAATCTTAAAACTGGATGTATGTAGACAACAAAAAAACACATACAAACATACGATTCACATATGCGCACATACAAACACATACAAACGTACGTACATTTAAACAATCTTAATAATACATACGTACAGATACACAACTAAAACCAAACACTAATAACCAGTTTTTAAATGCAATTCAAATCACTAACATGTTTGTATATATATATATATATATATATATAGCTTTATTTTATACGTTGATACAAGTGATTTATATACACTAAGTAAAGTACAACACTCGAATATAGACAACATTGAAGATGTGTGTGTACACTTTTGTATGTGTCCCATATATGAAGATGTGTTTGTACACATATGTATATGTCCCATATATATATATATATCCCATATATATATATGTGTGTGTGTGTGTGTGTGTGTGTGTGTGCCTTTAACACTGTTATAGGCATATATAACAATAGCAGAATATAAGATAAGTAATCCATGCATTGTGAAACATATGAGGGAGTATTGTTGCGAAAATAATGTAACTTGAGGAAAACTGTTGGTCGGCACTTTTGTGCATGTGTGTTTGTGTGAGTGTTTGTGTGTGTGTGTGTGCGTTATTAAACTAATTAAAAAGTGTCAAAAAATATAAGCAATAAAATGAAAAAATACGATCACCTATTATGTAAGTCTTCTAGATTATTCAATGAAAATAGTTTTTTTTGTAAAATAATTTGAGGATCTAATCGAAAAATACTTAGAAATAAATGCATACACACATACATATATATATATATATATATATATATATATGTGTGTGTGTGTGTGTGTGTGTATTTATATTCATATATATTTCATACATATTTATAAACAAATAAACACGAACGAACAAACATTTTGTGAACACAAGCATTTCTTCTTCAAAACTAATATAAAAATATTTGAAAATAATCATTTATATATATAAATATATGTATATAGGCACAATTATATAGATGAATATTATGTTAGACATACATATATATATATGTTTAACTATAGTATATATATGAATAACTATAGTATATATTTATACTTACATAAGTCCCAGAGTATTGTTTGGACGTAAATGATAATAAATCGAATAATAATTATTATTATTCTTATATTACTACACATAAAATATTATTATAATTTATATTCTGAAAATTAATAATAATAACGAAAATTTCGTAATCTCATACAAAAAATAAGCATCACATGATTATATATTGCAGTGTTGTGCTGTGTGTCAGTCGATAAATCCTTACCCACTTAGTTGACAGACAAATTGTTGATTAATAAATAGATTGATTTGACGATAGGTTAGTCAAAAAATGATTGGTTGACTAATTGACTGTTTGAATGAATGATTGATTGATTGACTGTTTGAATGAATGATTGATAGTTTGGTGGTTAATTGACTGATTGATTAAAATGTTATGGCAAGTTATTTCAATCAATTAACTTATCGTTCAATTGGTTTGTTGGTTGATTGATTTATTGATTGGTCCATCAATTGATTGACTAATAAACCGATCATTAACATTTAAATTACATTATTGTTATTCATTTTTGTTAGTTGCTAGCAGTTAAAACATAATTTAAAAAAAATTGTAGCAAAGTAATTAAGACTTTTTAATATTTGAAGATATCTTAAAGCTAGAAAATCCATCTCTTTCATTGGACTTTGAAGGTTGCTGCTGCTGCTGATTGCGATGGGAAGCGTTGACATCAAGATGTGCCAGGAAAGTAGAGCCAGCCACTAAGTTATCAGCAATTGGTGGTTTTGAAATTTGAGATGTTTTCGAAGTTGATGCTGTTGCAACTGTTGATGTTGTTGCAACTGTTACTACAGTTGTTGCTGTTGAAGTTGCTTGTTTTTGTTGTTGCTGCTGCTGAGGTGTGGTCTCAACATTTGTTACGGTTGGCGGCGTCGTTGTTGTCGTAATAGTCGTTGTTGAAAGTGAATTCTCGACAGAGATTCTCTTTTTGAAGACGGGCTTGGCTCTGATGGCAGGCGGTGTTGCTGTATTTGCTTGCCTGTCTGCCAATCTCGGTAACGTCGCCGAAGCGGATGGTGATGTGTCTGGTTGGCCAACAGCTGCAGTGGCAGATGCAGTGAAGTGTTGCTGAGACTGTTGCTGAGACTGCTGCAGAAATGAGTTGGCATTGAGACTGATAGTTGAACCCAGTGGAGACTTGCTTCTCGATCCTGCAGCTGGTAACGTAGCGTTGATGGCTTGTGGTTGCTGACGCTGCGGACTGACAGAGGTGGACGACTCGGATGTTGGAATGTTGTGAGGCAGGGAATTCCACTTGGCAGTAGAACCACCACCGCTACTTCCACTGATGCGTTCACTGCCGGATCTTCCAGAAACAATTGAAGCAGAAGCTAACGCATTTGCTGCAGCTGCAGCAGAAATGATGTTTGGCTTCTTGAGGATAACAGGAGATCCTGTCTTACCTAGGATGGGATTGTTATCCGAAAAGATGGGTGGTGGAGTAGGGAAGGTACCACTACTTCGTGGGGACGGAGGTGACACGATGACGTCAAGTTCCGATGATGATGACGTGTTTCGCTTCTTGAAGACAACTGGCTTCTGAGTACTGCCAAAAGAATTTCGTGAAGAAGGTGGGGCTGACACACCAGGTGGCTGAAATTTTGTTGCTGTTGTTACATTGGTTGATGTTGTTGTTGATGGTTTTATTGTTGCTGATGTTGTTGCTAAAATTGTTGTTGCTGCTGCTGCTGTTGATTGTTGTGGAGGCAGCTTTTCTGCATACTTTTCCAATGTGTTTAGATCTGAGTTGAGCTGAAAATATGAATCACAAATGATAAAAAGGATTGAAAAATTTAAAGACGATCGTCCAAGATTTCTGAACACACCATGAAGAAAATCAACAATAAAATCAACTTTAGAAATTATATAAATGCAAATTGCAGCAAACGTATTGTAAGAATGAAACACCTTAGCCATAACATTATCAAGTCCAGTGGATAAGACGTCGTTGGATGATTGGATGGCTTGCTTGTTAGCTTTGAAACTTCTGTTACCCGATTGGCCAGTAGATTCAGAAGCTGGAGCCAGTAAGTTAGATTGGGAAGGGCATTTGTTCAAGCTTGAATTAGATTGGCTGTAAGCGCTTGATATGAGGCATTCAGTTGACTTGTTGAGGTTCGATCTCTTCAATTTGTTCAAAGTACTACAATTGTAATTGAAAATATTTTAAATAAAATTTAAAATAACAATAACAATTATAAAATAAAAGACGGCAACAACCCACCCAAAAAAACAACCCCATACCCTCCAGTGACTAACCCTCTCCCATAAGATAGCACCCTATCAGGCAGCACACCAACGCTGCCACCAATCTCGACCAGCCACCAATCTGAACTTTCCTTACTGAGCAGTTGAACCACGTCTCCCTTACTGACGGTCAACTCTCTACTGGACTGGCCTACGTAATCTTCTTCTACTTTCGCCTCTCTCTTATCGAATTCTACGTGGAATGCATGAGTGAATGAGTGAGTGAATGAATGAATAATGAAAGAATGAATAAGTGAATGAGAGAATGAATGAACGAACAAACGAATGAATGAATAAATGTCTATTTACATACCTTCATCTTCTTCGTTCAGCGTGTCCTTCAGTCCATCATCATCCGAAATACTATCCAAATAATCCTTATCACTGGTAATAATAAAACAACAACAACAATAATAATAATAATAATAATAAATTACTATCACCTTGCAAACAGAACACACACACACACACGCACACACACACGCACGCGCACACACCTGATATACTTCTCATAGACCGCTTCATTCTGGTAATCTTCCTCAGTGGGGGGTGGAAATATCTCCTCGTGGTGCAATATTATATTCTTTACCAAGTTATTTATGTGGCCTGTGTACGTGTGTGTGTGTGTGTGAGAGTGTGTGTATGCGAGTGTGTGTGGGAAAGAGAGTAAAATCGTTTTCCTGAGAGACAGACTAACATAATCATACCACTTTCTAGTTACGATCATTAAATTCACATCATCATCGTCACTGTATCATCATCATCACTGCATCATCCTCACCATCACTGCATCATCATCATAATCATCACTACATCTTCATCCTCACCTTGATACTGATGTTGGTCGACTCTGTCAGCTGGAGCGTATATAAGTGTGGGCCCGAAACATATACTCAGGTTGTATGCCTCCATCATGTTCTCATCACTATGCTCCGTAACACTGACGACGATGATGATGATGACGACGATGATGATGACGACGATGATGATGATGACGATGAAGACAATTACTACCGTGATCATCATCTCAATGAATGAATAATCAAGACATCGCAAACGGCCTTGCCATCACCACTCTATTGTAATCTCTATAATCGCATCTCAAAGCGAAACCAACATTCACCATATACACACACACGCACACACACACACACACCACACACACACGTACACACACAAATTCAGTGCAATTTGACAGACTAACTGGCTAAGAAACTCGAACAGGTATCTCATAATGGTAATTCTTTGTGCTGATAGCGACTTTAAAATCTCTTTCATCGTTTCCATCCAGCCGACTGTTGATTGATTGATTGATTCAGTCATTTAAATCATCCATTCAATCATTCATTAAGTCATTTAATTCATCCATTCAATCATTCATTCATTCATTCATCTGGTTAATAATTCATTTATTCATATCCCCAAAAGAACATATAATTAAAAATTATTTGAACAATTAACAGCAGGCAAACAAACATATACCAAAACTCCAATACACACACACACACAAACAAACAAACAACACACATACACGTACACACACAAACAAACAACACAAACATACACAAACAAACAAACAACATACACAAACTAACAAACAACACACACACACACACACACATACAAACAACACACACACGCACACACAAACGACACATACGCACACACACAAACAAACAAAAATAAAAACAACAAACACATACACACAAACCAACCGCTATCCGAATAAACGGCCTCACTGCACCTTATGAGGTTGTCGTACTGGCCGAATGTGAACAGCGGCTCCTTCAAATCTCTCAGGTACATCTTCAGCAGACCTGCACGTGATCATTGACGTCATAATCATCATCGTCGTCTTCGTCCTCCCCCTCATAATCATCATCATCATAATTATTATTATTAGTAGTAGTAGTAATAATAGTAGTATCATTATCATCATCGTCGTTTTATAACTACCAGCAGAGTATATATATATATATATATATATATATATATATATATATATATATATATATATATATATATATACTGTATAATAATTTATCAAAAAGGCCATTGAAGTATACATTAATTATAGACAGCAGACGAAATTAATTATAAACATTAGTGAACATAATAATAATAATTATTATTATTATTATGACGGTAAATTACAGTGCGTGTACCATAAATAGACTATAATTGAATGAGAGAAAATGCCTCTTACATCTAATTCTTCCTGGTTCATCTTATAAACATTACATACATGCATGCATGCATGCATGCATACATACATACATACATACATGCATGCATGCATACATACATACATATATATATACAAACGAGTACATACCTGCTACAGCATTGACTTCATCGCCGTCAGTTTTGTATTGCAAAGGATCTTCTCCTAAAAATGAGATAAATACATCATTCTCATTGCCTTCGTAACCACAATAGCAAACTGATAACACCCATTACGACGTTAATTCCTACTGAATAATAAGAATCTATCAGCCAGTCAGTCAATCAGGTAATCAAAGCCAGCCAATCAAAATCATCCAATCAATCGACTAATCGTATCAACCCTTTTCAAACTGGCTCTTGAAATTTGACATCTCGGTGACTGCACCCGACACCCTGAATATGCCCTGATGATGCATGCCTGTTGGTAAAATTTTGATAGTGTCAGCGAGATAGCTCAGTCATTAGGAGTGCCATGTCTCGAGTTACTAATACACGCTGGCATGGTTCGAACGCAGCACAGAGTTGCATTATAAAGAATAATAAAAGGTAGTGTATAATGTTCAACAAAGTTGAACGTGTGTAAAATGTACGTAATTTACCGTGAAGATTGATGTAGCTGATACAACTCTTCATCACGGCTGGTATTGCTTCACCAGTCGCCTGTACGTTTGTATGTATGTATGTACGTGTGTGGGTGTATGTATGTATGTATGAATAAATGAATGAATAAATGAATGAATGCATGAATGAATGCATGCATAAATGAATGAATGAACGAATGAATGAATGCACGTATACAAACCTCGACATATTCTTCAATGACTCCTCCGAACATCGCTGGCCTCTTGCCACTACCCTTCGTTGATTTGGCAAATTTCTTCTTCGGCTTCGGTGGTACATTTGGAGGCCTAGAAGTAACGACCACAATAATAATAATAATAATAATAATTATTATTATTATTATTATTATTATTAAAACAAACAGCTAAAGTACACCCTATGATGAATGCTAAATATTATCAAAGTCATGAAAATCATCAAAGACACCGCCATCATCATCATCATATTCATCATCATTTTCACCATTATCATCATCATCACCACCATCATTATCACCATGGAAACTTACACGCCATCGGCATTTTTCAAGAGATCCATCTTCGTCTTCAGTCTAACTATCAGGCAATCCTTGCTCAAGCAATCTCTATATAGCTGTGTGTACGTGAGTTATGTGTGCACGTGTGCGAACTGGGAAGAAAACGAGAGAGAGAGAGAGAGAGAGAGAGAGAGAGAGAGAGAGAAAATAAAAAAGAATCGAAGAGTAGAAAGAAAGATGGGGGTAAATATAAAATAATACACATAGCAAGCAATGCAAACGCCTGATGTATTTATTATTCATCATTATCATAAAACAGCCATCATCATTATCATCATCGTCATCAGAGAACAGCCATCACCATAATCTTCATCCTCTTCATCATCCTCATACTCATCGTCACCTCGATAACATAATCTTCCAATTTAATTTTATCCTCTTTGGATTTCTCAGTAGTGGGGGATCTGTTGCTAGTGGATTTATCGTCCAGGAAATATTGTTCTATGGTGTTGTTAGTGTTCGTCGACTGGACCCCCCTAAGTTTCTCCAGGAATTTCTCTTCCGCCATCTCCAGAGATTTCACGTTCTGAAAATTTTTTTCGGTGACTTTGTTGCCTGCCGCTGATATTGTTACTAAATTTCAAATTCTGAAATTTTTTTTACCTTGTTGCTGTTGATACTGCTGATTCATTCATTCATTCATTCACTCATTCATTCATTCGTACATACACTCATTTATTTATTCATTTATATATGAAGTTTTAGTCTTGAATTTATATATTCATACATCGATCCACTCATTCATCTATTCATCCACCCACGTAGCCATTCATTCATTCATTCCCTCATTAATTAATTAATTCATTCATTCATTCATTCACCTACCTTTTCCTTCTCCTGCTTCATTTCTCCAATCCTATTGCTTATGAGGTCGATCCTGGCAGAAATGTCGCTTCCCTGTCCGCAGATCTGGTGTATCTGAGAGTGAATGGAATGGTGAATAAGGTGGTGTCCAATCAAAACCAATAGAATAATCTGCCAGCCAATCAGCTCAACAACCGGCCGGCAAATCAATCAATCCGGCAACTAATCCAAAATCAAACTACTCACCAATCGAACCAATCAATCAAACCAACAGACCTCATCTCCCCTGTGCGCCTGAAACTCAAATCTACTCGGAGTGACGAAATTTTTCGGATAAGCAGCCCTAAAAACCTCAAAATCTCCGAGTCCGTCTATCATTTTGGCCCTGGAGAACAGTTCTTTGGCTCTTTCTAGGTCTCTTTCTGCTAAAATTCTCTCAGCTATCGAGTGTGTCTCTAATACTCTGTTGATCATTTGGTGGTAGCCAGTGTCCAGTTTTGTGACTAGGCATGGGAAGTCTTCTGTGAAGTATTTTTTCACTAGGGCGTTTGCAACTTCTAAGAGAATGAGGTACTCGTTACGGGCCTTCATGGCTTTCAATTTGTTCTCCGTGTACTTGGCTTGTTTCTGTGTTGGTTGTCGTTGTTGTTGCGTAAATGTTTTTGCGTCGTATGGTCTGATGTTGTCTGAGGATGATGTGTGTGCGTGTGTGTGTGTGCACATGTATATATGTTTGTGGTTAGTTGGTTGGTTGATTGCTTGGATGATTAGTTGATTGAGTAATTGGTTGGTTGATCAATTGCGCTCTTGCATGAATGATTTTTCATAGTTTACTTGATTGTTGATTGAAGTGATTGATTGATAATGAATGAAAACCAACAAAGCAAACAAGCTGATCGACAGACAGACAGACAAATACCTTTTCAGACTTCTTCTCATAGTTGACAAACTTCTTAGCAAGCAGATTTTGCTGATCGACCTTGACCTTTTGACTTTGAACTCTCAATAACTTGTTCTCAGCTACCTGACTCTCACCGTGGTACAAATGGTAGGTCTTCATACACTGCCGTGATAGTAATAATAGTAGTTGTAGTTGTTGTAGCAGCTTCAGCAGCAACAATAGTAGTAATAATAGCAGTACCACCACATCAACATTACATAATCACATCACCATCACATCATAACATCGACAGGACTAACACTAGATAACTCCAGTAAGACTTTGCTTATTTCCTCTTGTCTTTTTGTAGTCATTTCTCTGCACTGTAACGGTGTACGTGTGTATGTATGTATGTACGTGCGTGTGTGTGTATATATGTGTTTATATGTATGTATTTATGTGTGTGTGTTTGTGTGCGTGTGTGCGTGTATGTACTTAGGTGCTTACAAACCATATCTTGTACACTATCTTGATGGTTATCACCATCAAAGACAATTATATTAATGTCATAACAAGCTAACAACAATACACATTCTATAAAAGTTAAGCCAGCCAGCCAGAAAACTCAGACAGCCAACCCTATGAGAAATAAATAAATTTAAAAAATCAAACGACCAATCACAGACCTTCTTATAGATCCTCTGTATGTCTTCACTAACTTCAAACAATCTGTTGACTATTAGATTATTGACAATCTCGCATAACGATGCATTATCTTTACCTTGGTGTGATAACAAAAATAAATTTATAACAGAATTTTTAGTTCACTCACTCATTCATCCATTCATTCATCCATTCGACCGTTCGTTCGTTCGTTCATTCATTCGTTCATTCATTCATTCATTCATTCATTCATTCATTCATTCATTCATTCATTCATTCAAGTACTCGTTAATTTGTTTATTTATTTGTTTTGTAGCAGTAAAACCTGAGCCAATTCAAACGCAATTGATAATATCACATAAGCAAGCAAAAATATGACAACAATTACTACAACAATAATAATAACAATAATAAAAATAACATAATTAATAATTAGCTAATTAGTAATTAAACGGTTAACAATTACCAATAGTGATAATGAATGAATGGCACAGAAGATGATGATATAGATAATAATACACTGGTGAGTTAATACATAAACATTGAGAGTAATTATAAAATCCAATGGATGAGTTAGTTATAGAGGTACTGCTAGGAATTGGAACAGCCAAAGTGACTTTCATTGGCCCAGGTAAACGCATTACATCAGCAAATAGGCAGTCATTTTGACAGTCTTAATCCAATTCATACATATATACATACTAAATTAACAAACAAAAATACATACAAACATACATACGTACATATGTACAAACATACATACAGGCTGTGCTTGTTGTTTTTACCATGGGCTCGTACCTACCTACCTACCTACATACATACATACATAAATACATACATACATACATACAGACATACAAACATACATACATATATACATACAAACATACATACATACATATATACATACAAACCATTTTGTTTAGTACTGGCAATCAACCCTTGCCAGGCTGTGCATGTTGTATAGCCATTCCAACATTCTCTCCTAAATAAATGGATGAATGAATGGATGAATGAACGAATGAATTAATGAATGAACGAATGAATTAATGAATGAACGAATGAATTATCGTATAATTTAATGAATTAATGAGTAGATGAATAAATCAATAAAGGAAAAATTAATGGATGATGAATGAATGTGTATATGGTTAATCCAATTAAAAAACAAATGAATGATGAATTAATGAATGAATGAGTGAACGGATGGACAAACGGATGAATGAATGAACAAAAGAGTGAACGAACAAATGAATGTACAGATGAACAAATGAAAAAACTCAAACTTTTGTTTATTATCTTTGTGCCTCAAGTTAATCTGCTTGGACAACTTTTCTAAATTCTTGGCATATTCGCCCTTAATAGAAAATGGAAGAAAAATTAAATTGAATTATCATATTAAAGTAAATTAAATAAACAATTAAAAATTAAATAAATATACAACAATTGTGGAAAAACTGTTTAAGAATTATAACAAAAATATGGCAAATATAATTGAAAGATAGATTGATTTGCTAAATGGAAGGAAGTCATCAGTGAAACTGAAGTCTGCCATAATTAATCATAATCAACCTACTAATCAATCAATCAATCAATCAATCAATCAATCAATCAATCAATCAATCAATCAATCAATCAATCAATCAATCAATCAATCAATCAATCAATCAATCAATCAATCAATCAATCAATCAATCAATCAATCAATCAATCAATCAATCAATCAATCAATCAATCATTCAATCAATCATTCAATCAATCGACCGATCAATCAATCAATCACTCAATCAATCAATCACAAACCTGCACTTCTATTTTCCTCTTATAATAATCTTGCATCTCCCAGACAAGGCACTGATGTATGTCAACGCGTTGGTCCAAGGATCTGATCTGCTCCAGAAACTGCTGGTTTATATCTGATGGTAAAGATGATGATACGATGATAATGGTGTGATGATGATGATGATGGTGGTGGGCTGAGAATGATGTGACAGAAATGACTATGGTGACCAAACACACACATACATACATACAAACATACACAAACATACACACATACAAAAATACATACAAGCAAACATAAATATCAGAAATTAATTTCCCATCATGACATCTTGATCATCTTATCATCATCGCCATCATCTTAAAATCGTCGTCGTCATCGTCATCATCGTCATCGTCGTCATCATCATCATCACCGTCATCATCATTACCATGACCTTAGTAAAGCCTGTGTAACTTAATATTTTTATTTGGCTGAACAACATCAATTAATTTTTAACATTACTCTCTTTCATATTATACTTAAAAATGTTATATTTAATAATAATAATAATAATAACATCATCCAACTTACTTATCTGATTTACTTAAAATAAAAAATTAGTCATATTTCAGTTTCAGAAAGGAAGCATCATTATCATCCTCCTCCTTCTCCTCATCATCATCATCCTCATCATCATCATTATTATTATTATTATTATTATTATCATCATCATCACCACCACTAATATCTTCTTCATTATCTAGAGTAATAATAATCATAATAAATATTATCATTATTATAACAGTGATATTAATAATAACTGCAATAATAGTAATAACTCATCTATTTGGTTAGTTAGTTGCAACCAAATTAAAAACAGGATGCAATTGAGAGAAAAAAAACCTGTACATCAAATGTTTGTTTGTATGTTTGTTTGTTTGTATGTTTGTTTGTTTGTTTGTTTGTATGTTTGTTTGTTTGTATGTAGGTATGTTTGTATGTAAGTGTGTATGTTAGCATGTATGTATGTTTGCATTGTTTGTTTGAATGTATGTATGTATGTATGTATGTATGTATGTATGTATGTATGTATGTATGTATGTATGTATGTATGTATGTATGTATGTATGTATGTATGTATGTATGTATGTATGTATGTATGTATGTATATATGTATGAGAGGATATGAGTGTATGTATGTAGGTATCTATGTACCCACGCACGCACGCACATCAGCAAACAAGCAAACAACAAAACAAAAGAAACAACACATTATTAACAAACTTAACATTCAATGACAACACCGACAAACTTCAAAAAGAAAAAAAAACTTGACAAAATTTTCCTCTTAAAAAATGAAGGGACTTAAAAAACAAAAGTAAGAATGTTATAACAACAACAACAACAGTAGAATAACAGACATAGCATAAATCACAGCCTAAATAACAATAAAATTTACTTCAAACAATGCAACAAATTAATAAAAGTTATCATTGACAATAAGCCACCAGCAATATAAATTAGACACACACGCACATATATACACATACATACACAAACACTCTACATGTCTACTTACATCAATAAAGGTTACATCAAAAACGACATTAACATTCACCAAAGTGACATCACAAACAACAACAACAGCAGAAGAACATCCTTAACACAACACAACACTTGCAATCATATCTAGACATTATAAAAGCATGAAAACACCACATAAAAAACAACTTGACATGGATAATTTAAACTTACAAACAAAATCAAAAACAGCCTCACATACATACACAGTGCAACACATATAAACACACAGACATACACACACACACACACACACACACACACACACACACACACACACACACACACACACACACACACACATATATATATATATATACATATATATTATCTACATGCAATATCTATTAAGTTTGATAGCTCAAACAACCTCATCAAATGATGACACAATTTTACTATCTCCACAACTACACTATACCATATTACTATTAATATTCAGAGGGTATCTAGTAAATAAGTATTTAGTAATAGCTTAGATAAAAAGCTATGATTTCGGTTTGGTATACATTGGTTAAAACAATAATTAAATTTATCTATGTACCTTTTATTTTATTAGTATTAGTTGATAACTAATTAAACTAACTGTTATTAAATTAGCATTAAATCTAGATTAGCTTTGTAAGAAGTTTGTCAGTTTTTTAACTTTTTAAATTCATATTTAAAATTTTTTTAAAGTTTAATGTAAATTTTGATGAATGAATGAAGAATTTAAGGTTGAAGATTGAAGAACAACTGACTTCTATTCTATTAGTAGTTAGATATTAATAATTAATTAGTAAGAATTAAGATTTAAAAGTTATTAAGGACAAAATTAATGACTCAAATCTCACAAATCATTCAACATAATTATTAATGAAATATAATTGTAAATTAATTAGTATTTTTTATTTTAAAAAAACGTGATTTTCGTTATCATTTTAAAAATGAAATGTAAAAAATTTTTATTTATTTTTAGCAAAAATAAATAAATAAACTAACTAAATTAATTATTAATGAAATTTAATTTAAATGCCTCACCTCTTATTTGACTTTCCAATTCCAGAACGATCTCTTTATCTTTTTTCATTTTTGAATTATTTCAATATATTTGATTAAATAATTAATTATTTATTTGAAATAATTTGGCGACTCTTTTCCTTTTTAAAAAGCCTTTATTTTGAAAAATGTTTAAAGTTAAAACCACAAATGCGGAACAAAAGAGTGAAAGATCACGAATAGATTATATGTGTTATCGAGTTCATTTTTAAATTTAAGCCTTGGATGTATAAAATGATATAATTTCATTTTAAAAAGCTGCATTTAATATGATTTCGTTAACAAATTTAAAAAAATATACAAATTTAAGTTTTATTTTTACTAAAGTATTGTTTTTTAATATTCGGTTTTTTCAAACATCACTTATAAATTAGATATTAGATGGTTTATCAACCTTATTATAAATGTTGAACTATACCAATAGAGGTTATTGCATTGATTTTTCTATATTTAAGTTTAATTCAAATTTATTAAACAATCACTAAGCATTTTTATATTATGAATATATATTTCTGTAATATTATGAATCATAATTTGTTAAATATAGTTTTACTTGCGATATCTTATAAATGTCTAATTTCCGAATAAAACTCAAAAATCACTATTTGAAATAGAAATTTTAATGAGCTTGCGTATACTATAAAACGACTAGAATATAAAAATTGTATGAATACATATGTATATACAAACATAAAGAAATAAACACAAACATACGTATCCAACAAAATTATACATACATACAAACAAACAAATATACAACAGTATATATATATATATATATATATATATATATATATATATATATATATCAACTGTTGGTAATAGACCATAATTTTTACAATATTCTATAAATTCTACCGAATGTTTGGCGTTAATATGTTTGTAGTTTTGCAGCATGAATTCGAAAAATAAGTTTATATTGAATTTTAATAAACTAAACGTTCACCAAAAAACTTTAGTGAGAAAAATCGAAAAAAGGAACTACAAACATATTAACGCCAAACATTCGGTAGAATTTATAGAATATTGTAAAAATATATATAAAATATATATATATATATAAATATATATAGTTTGAAGCTCTGAATAACCAAACGAAAAATATATCTATATACAAAGTAAGCAATTAATAACAAATTACAAAACCATCTGTAAAAAACATATTCAAAAAGTTGAAAAACATCACACACGCACACACACACACACACACACACACACACACACACACACACACACACATATGCATACACACAGACAAACAAACATAAATACACATGCACATACATACGTACATATACATAATACAAACATAATACAAACGATTTGACAGATCGGAGTTACAAACCACAATCAACAATGAAAAATTTAATGACAGTGTAGGTTCATTTTTTTATCTTTCGCAGTTTTCAGTACGGTTGAGTGAGAGAATGAATTTATGGATGGATGAATGAATGAGAGAGTGAGTGAATGAATGAATGGACGAACGAATGAACGAACGAACGAATGAATGAATTGTCAACCAAAAAAAGAAAAATCTAACAAATAAGTAGATAGATGGCTGGCAGACTACCTGGTAAACGAACAAACGAACAGATAAATAAGAAAATAAGTGAACGAACGAATAAGCAAATGAATGAAAAAATGAATAAATGAACGAATGAAAGAATAAACGAATGAAAGAATAAACGAATGATTAGAAATCGGCTTTTCACGTTTGATACTGCAGTACGGAGCTACCCAAGGAACCGTGACCTGCTGTTGAGGAATTGTGGTTCATACGGAACATGTTCAAACCTCTGTTGTACCATTCCTCTTCGTGTATACTCTCCTGATAATGATGATGTTGATGATGATGATAATGATGACGATGATGATGACAATGATGATGAGGATGATGGTGATGACGACGACATTTTAACAGCAATGACAGTATTAACACACCAGACATATGAAACAAAGCAAGAAAAATATATCCTAACCAAATTAATGCCATATTCATGAACCGACATGCACGGAGTCAGACGACTATTCACGTGATTACCTCCACTACCACCACTACTTCCGTTTCCGGGATTGGCCGCCATGATGTTTCCCAGGTGTGCGGGGAATCCGGCAGGACCACAACCCGTTGGTAGCATCTGAGGGTAGCAGGACCCCATGGAGACTGCATTTTGATTGTGAGGATAAGGATAGCATGGGGCTCTGTTTGGATTTGATTGGTAGAGACCACGGACCAATCCGTTGCAAGATAATCCATTTCCGTTTCCAGGATTAGGGTTGAGTGTTTTGACGAGTTGTTTTTCTTGTTTGCGATATTTGGCGCGTCTGTTTTGAAACCAGACCTAAGCGAGATGTTGTTGTGATGATGATGATGATTTTAGATAATGATGATGATTGGAGATGATGATGATTATTGGGAATGATAACGAACAGTGGTGGTGGTTATAATGGTAATTTAATAGAGAAGGAAGGATGGAAAAATGTGGATGACAAAAATGCGCGCGAATGAACGAATGAACAAACATGCAACTTTCTGCGCACTGTAACTAGATTTTTTTTATTTTTCAGATCTTCACTCGCAAGAACTGACGCGCGAATATTTGCGGCACGCCCGACTAGTTTGCGTTTTTCGTGTTGCATGTTACGTTACGTCATTTTGAATCGTCTATTTGTCTGTCTGTTTGTCTGTCTGTGTCTGTGCGTGTGTCTGCGCGTGTTTGAGTATGTGTGTGTAAGTACGTGCTTGCGTGTGCTAATAAAATTGTAGAAAAAAAATTCGGCTGAGTTATTTTTACTACAAGAAAAAACATTCTAAATGCATACATTAGACACGCGACCAATCAGAGGACGGTATTGAGTCACGTGCAACGTAAAATATGAGATGATTGGTTGATTGGTTTGTCAGGCAAATCTCGTGTTAGGAACTTGCGGGGAATTTTTGCGATGTTATTAATAATTTTATTATTATAACAATTGGGGAAAAATTGCATGGAAAATGTAACATACAGACAGACAAACAAACATACATACAAACAAACATACACACACACGCACACATACATACATACATACATACATACATACATACATACATACATACATACATACATACATACATACATACATACATACATACATACATACATACATACATACATACATACATACATACATACATACATACATACATACATACATACATACATACATACATACATACATACATACATACATACATACATACATACATACATACATACATACATACATACATACATACATACATACATACATACATACATACATACATACATACATACAT